CATGAATGCTTTTTTTCAAGTGGGATCCATTATATGACTGTCTTGGTCCACCTGCAATCAGTTTTTCTTGCTATGTGACCAGTTGTTACTCAAAAGTAACAACACCCACAAAAGAGGAAATGCCAGAGATCTTAGTGGAGGAAGAATCAAGTGCCATAGAATCAATGAAAAATGGCAAAGCTTCAAGAAATGATTGTGTTACTGTTGAAATGCTGAAAGTTGGTGATCACAGTTTACACATACCAGCAAAACTATATTCAAGATGCATTCGAGAAGAAAAATACCCAATGCGTGGAAAAATGTTGAAGTGATTCTTATACACAGGAAAGGGGCTCAAGATGATTTAAAGAATTATTGCCCAATAATCCTTCTTTCGGTCATCTACAAGGTTTTCATCAAGATAATAGCAAAAAGAATATTGAGAACATTAAATGATGCACAGCCAAAGGACAGACGGGGTTCAGAAATGGCTATAGCACAATTATTATTATTTATTATTATTTATTAGTTTTGTATGCCGCCCACTCTCGGAAGACTCCGGGCGGCTTACAATAAAAAAGGGAAGGGGGATACAAAAATAAAACAGCAGTTTAAAATTACAACAACAATCACAACCTAGGGTGGGGCTGGACAATTCAACAGCCCCAGTTCAACTAGGGCTTCGTTTGAGGACATTTGCAGGCTGGCCCTGTGGTCTGCCCTGTTGCCATTTATTCGCCATTACCAGCTGGATGCCTTCACATCCGCTGAGCCATCTTTTGGTCGCAGGGTTCTCCAACAGGTAGTAGCCACCACAGCTTCTACGTCCTAGATTTCCCTCCCTAGGGACGACATCCCATGCATAGCCCCTCCCACATCTCATATTGGAAAAAGAACGTTGGTCCTTACCTGAGCGTTAATTTTCTGTGTGGATGTGGGAGGGGTTACATCCCTCCCTAGCAAGACGTAGTCAGTCAGGTGAAGGGCTGGGGGTACCCTGGTTGTTTCAATTGTACCTTTCAGGTGGACTGCCTTTCCACAGCCTTACGGAAACTGGGGAACCAAGGGAAGGAGGAGGCATGGCAAAGAATTTCCCTCAGTCTCTGGACCAATCAGGCTGTGTTGATATCTCATGCGTAGCCCCTCCCACATCAACACAGAAAATTAACATTCAGGTAAGGACCAACGTTCTGTTTGGGCGAATTGGTATTTCCAATGATCAGCTGTGATGCATGATTAATATTAGCTAGAAAGCAGGATTTCCTGCTCTCTAGCTAATCTAAATCGTGTGGCACAGCGGATTCCTCCCCTTGCTCTTCTACTTACCTTTGCAGGGGTGCTCAGTAGCAGGCTCCACCCACCGTGTCCATTTTTATCATTTTTGATGCTCTGCACATGTGCAGAGGTGGCATGTGCACCCACATTTGCAAAACGGTAGCGAAGGTAAGTAGGTTTTGCCCCTGGTTTATAGTGACTTTGCAAGGAACAAAGGTAAAGGAAGTTAAGAAATTAATGGTAGAAAACAGCCAACTGAAGCAATATAATTAAAACTAAGGTGAGGAAAAAGAATTTTCTACATTAGAGCCAGGCTGAAGCATTTTGGTGAAGAGTGAAAAAAATACATTAAGCAAGAGAGGTAGAAAATTTTTATTCAGCACAGGAAATCTGATTCTGCATGCTAAGTAACGTACAATTATTTTCATACATTTTATTTTAATCTGACTTTACATGTTGATTAGTCACACACAATGTTATTAATACAAGAAAGTGGCATTCACCTTCACTAATCTACAATCTTATGTTCATTTCAGCCACATTTTAAAGGCACACAGGTATGAGGAAGTTTTGCAGCTCTACATTATAAAGCCAATACAGGATGAACCTTTGACTAAAACTTTTTAAATGCTAACACATTTCACTCTGGTGTTGTTGTTGTTATTGCTGCAACATATTGCTCTTTTCCTTTCCCAGATCAAAACATGGCTAAAGAAAACCTCCTTGAGCAATACACACACACAAAGAGATCTTAAGCAATTTTGGTTTTTTCCCCCTCCCTTCTGGGCCATGAAATTTATAATTTTCTGAATAAAGGAAATTCATATGCCAAAAGAGATTTAAAATTAAAAATAGTTATTTCAAACTGTGCTTTAATTAGCAAGGATAGTGAGTTTATTCTTATTGGGAGAATTAATCATTGAAACACTATAAAAACAAAGTTTATTTTATGTAATCCATTTATATAGCTACCTTAAGTGGCACACAACCCAGGGCAGCCTAAATCAACAATAAATAGTAAATTGAGTTATCCCCCTCATCAAATGCATTCTGCAGTAGAAGACTTGTATTTGTATTTGTATTTG